AGGTTGTCTGAGTAGCAAGTGCTCAGAGAGCAGCCTGGGTCACAGGGAAAGCTGGCCTCCAGAGGGCTGGGCCAGGCTGGGATGTGTGGACAAGGGGATGCTGGAGGTGGCTTCCCGATGGTGCTGGGCAAGCAGTGCAGGGTTCTGCCCTGTCTTCATTTTGTGTTTCTTTACTTGAAAGGCAGAGAGCGCCAGCACAATGGCAGAGGCTAGACCAGAACAAAGCTGGGTCTTTCACGCAGGTGGCAGGGACCCAACGATTTGAGCTGGCACAGGGTCTGCACATGCAGGAAGCTGGAACTGGAAGTGGGAGCCAGGATGCAGACCCAAGACACGGGGTGGGGGGCAGGCCTGCAGACTGTTTTGGAACATGGTTTCATTGTGTATGTGGGTTTAAAGTTTATTTTCATTTATTCGAAAGGCTGTTAAAGATTGAGAGATCTTCTACCCATTGGTTCATTACCTAAATAGCCATAATGGCTAGAGCCATGCTAGGTCAAAGCCAGGAGCTTCCTCTGGGGGTCTTCTGCATGGGCTCAGGGTCCCAAGGCTTTGGGCTGTCCTCGACTGCTTTCCCACGCCACAAGCAGAGAGCTGGATGGGAAGTGGAGCAGTTGGGACTTGAACCCGTGTTCATATGAGTTCATATGAGAAGCTGGTGCTACAGGCGGGGGCTCAACGTGCTAGGCCTTGGTGCTGGACACTGTCTTTGAGGGAGAAGGGCAGCACGAGGGCGACCTGTCAGGCCCAAGGCTGTGGAGACCCTCTGCTCACTTGGCGTGTATGTAGAGCTTGCGGGTGCTCTGTGAAGCATCGTGCGAGGGTTGCAAGGCAGGCCTCGGCCTCTGTGCAGACACAGGGGAAGGCCGGCGGAGCAGGCTGGCAGGGACAGCCCCCAATAAACGCAAAGTGGCCCTGGTCCGGGTCCGACTCCAGGCTTGTGCTTTGTACCTGTTGCCCTGAGACTGTCAGTGCTTCATGTTGGACTCTGGTGGGCATGGGCTGCACCCACTGCCTGGGCCCCCCGGCTCTGGGCTCTCTTCTGTGGGTTGGGCACCTCAGGGTCCTGGAGGAGCACCGTGTAAGACCCAGGGTGGTGGCTCTCCCACTCAGGGCTGGTTGCACCTGTGGGGGGTGGTGACTTGGCAGCATATGGTAATCTGGGATCTAGGTGGACCACCCCCCAGCAGCCATCAGAGCCTGCCGCTCATGTGCCCCACTGACCCCAGGGACAGCGAGGCTGCCAATGAGGGCTCCTTAAGAGCAGACCCAGGTCAGCAGGAGCCTGAGGGGGACTTTCCAGCCAGAGGCCAGAGGGAGGCCACGGGGGAGAGGGCAGGGGTGGTTGGGGGTCGGGTGGCCGGTCTTGTCCTGCCTGCAGGCCATGCAGGGGTCCTGGCTGGGAACTGTGAGTGGGTGGGACATCCCTCTGAGAAGTTCATGCCAGGGTCTGGTGGAGAGTGGACAGCTGGGAGAGTGGGCATGTGTCTAAAGTACTGCAAGGGTGCCAAGTTTCCAGCGGGGATGATGCCATCTGGGCTGTGGTGCCAGCAGAGAGGGTGATGGGAGATGGCAGGATTTGGGGCGCTGTCCCCAGAGCAGATGCCGAGGAGGGGGTGCCACCTGCAGCAACCTGCAGCAAGGCAGAAGCGGGGAAGAGCTGAGCTGCAGCCACGCCGGGTTCCTAAGCAAAGATTCAGAGCCACAGGCACTCACCCCTGCAGGTGGGCAGGTCTGGTTCCGTCCTGGGGGCCCACTGATCCTTCCTGGGTCCACTCTGCTTCTGCCGTCCCCTCTCCCCTCCCTCTGGCTCCCTACCTTCCTCTGATGAAGACCCCTGTGACGGCAGGAGGGGACCCCACATGGTGCCTCACCTCGGAATTCAAACCCCCAGGGTAAAGTGTCCTGCGAGGGCAAGCTAGCCCACGTGCCAGGAGGAGGGCCAGACCAGCCTCCGCAGCCAGCTGGCAGCCTGGCAACGGGTGGCAGGATGGAGCCGGTCTGGAGTGTTACCCCAGCAAACTGCCTGTCACAGTGAGCCCACGGTTTCAGACAACTCAGCTCTCGTGCACCCATCCCATGAAGCCACTGAGATGTGGTCTGCCACAAAGATGCAAATCCTGGCAGGTGCAGCAAGGCCCCAGGTAAGGTGGGGGTGGGGGTACAGCCCAGGGTGACAGCGGGGTCAGGAGCTCCCAGAGCACTCAGGATGCTGTGATTATTAAATCAAACTTCCTCAAACATCTCGTCTCATGGGGCAGGTGTGTGGTGCCATGGTTAGACGCTGCTGGCTCTGCTTGCTTCCCATTCCAGAGCACCTACTCTGTGCCCCACCTAGCTCCCTGCTAGTGCACATGCTGGGAGGTGGCAAGCCACCGCTCCGGTGCTTGGGCTCGGGCCACCCTTGTGGGAGAGCGGGGTGAGTTCCAGGCTCCTGGTGTCCCCTGGCCTGGCCCTGGCTGCTTGCTGTGGGCCTTCTGAACAGTGACGGTATGTAAAAGAGCCTGCCTTCAGTAATCCACAAGCAACAAGCATTACAGGGAAGAGGGTCGGGGCGGACCAACAGATTTTGGGGGCGCGTTTGAACTTGGGCTTACTGAGGCAGAAACTGCCAGAAGTGAGCATTGTCTTGCATAGAATGATGAGTTCCTAGCGCATACAGTGTAAGCACCCCCACAGGGAAGACACAGCTCCGAATGCCCTCTGTCCTGGACCCTCCCCATAACCCCCTCCCCTGTCCGTGGTAAGGACCTCCAGGAATTCCCCCTGCTTTGTGGAAGCTGTTTCTGCAGGGACAGAAACTAGAAGCACAATGGAGGGTAGCAGGTAGGCAGGGGGACTGACCAGCTGCTGGGTGGGCCATGAGAGGAGCTGGCAAGAGCCAAGGTAAGGGCAGGAAGGGGACACACAGAAGATGGGAGACTCAACTATGTGTGGCAGCACCAATCTGTGTGGCCCCACACAACGATTCTGGGTATCCTCTGGTCTTATTCAACCAGCAAGAACAGGTGGACGGATGCACAGAGGGACAGACAGATTGGTGGATGGATGGATGGGAAGGTTGGTGTGGATGGATGGGTGGATGGATGGGTAAGTGGATGGATGGGTGGATGGGTGGATGGGTGGGTGGATGGGTGAGTGGATGGATGGGTGGATGGGTGGGTGAGTGGATGGATGGGTGGATGGGTGGATGGGTAGATGGGTGGATAGGTGGGTGAGTGGATGGATGGGTGGGTAGATGGATGGGTGGATGGGTAAATGGGTGGATGGGTAGATGGGTGGGTGAGTGGATGGATGGGTGGATGGGTGGGTGGGTGGGTGAGTGGATGGATGGGTGGATGGGTGGGTGAGTGGATGGATGGGTGGATGGGTGGGTGAGTGGATGGATGGGTGGATGGGTGGATGGGTGGGTGAGTGGATGGATGGGTGGATGGATGGGTGGATGGGTAGATGGGTGGATAGGTGGGTGAGTGGATGGATGGGTGGGTGGGTGGGTGAGTGGATGGCTGAATGGGTGAGTGGAAAGGTTGGTGGATGAGTGGGTGGGAGCGTGGGTGGGTGTATCTGAAGCTAGGATCCAGGAGCTCCCATGTGGCTGCAGAGTCTCACGCATCTAAGCCGTCCCCAGCTGCCCAGGTGCATCAGCAGGGAGTGGACGGGAAGCAGAGCAGCCAGGACGCGAAGCGGTGCCCATATGGATGCAGGTGCCACAGGTAGAGGCACCTGAAGTGGTTGCTAAGCCAGTTCTAGACCTGATAGTGGTTGGAATGCTTCTGGAACGACCTGGACAGCTCTGTGGGAATCTTGACTGCGGGAGGTAACTCTGTAGCAACTAAGCAAATGGGCGTCCCCACTCCCCAGGCTCCTGCTGCGCCTCTCCTCCCTCTCTGACAGGGAGACCCAAGGGCCTTACCTGTGGGCGCCCGTGACCGAGCACTCATCATGCTGCAGAAGATGGAGGACGCCTGGGGGAGGGGACAGCAGGAAGCTCGCGGTGCAGACAAGGTCGGCCAGGCTGGGGCTGCTGGCCAAGGCTGGGGCGTGCAGGCGGCGCAGCAGCTCCGCACTGCCCCACAGAGCCGGTCCTTCGCCAGGCCTCAGGGGCCAGCGGCCGCCTCTGCGACATTCAGACATCAGGGTCCCTGGGGTGAGGGACTCCAATCACTGAGTTACAAGCGTGCAGCCGCCCGTGGGAGCGCGTCTCTGGCCGCCAGCCTGGCAGGAGTTCCCAGCAGGAGCCTCTGTTCCCGTGCCGACCCTGCTGCCAGTGTGTTTAAGCACCCCAAGGACAGGCGTACACTAGGCCTGCTGGCTGAGGGTGGCATGACTCGCTCAGGCAGCAGCTACCACGTGCCACCACCTGCACCCTCCCTCCTAGCCCCCGGGCAGGTACCAGGAGCCCTTCCGCCTCCCAAGCAGAGATGCGCGCACGACAGCCTGAGACCGCGCAGCAGGGGCGCGGAGCCCACGGGTGCGGGGCCGGCGGTGAGTCCCGGGTCGCACCAGGCCAGGCTGCGCTCGGAGCCACCCAGCGTGTGGCTCCCAAGGGCGCACGGCGGCCGGGGCGCCGGGGCGCAAGCCGGGTGCGGGCTCGGCCGCCGGCTCGCCACACCCGCGAGCGGCGAGGTCCGGGCGGCACCGGCGATGGCCGCTGTCCCCTGCGGGCCTCCCGCAGCCCGCCGCCCCTCCCCGGCGCAGCCCGCCTCCCGCAGCCCCCCGCAGCCCCCCGCAGCCTCCCGCAGCCCCGCGCGGCCCGGGCACGGGGACGCCCGCCGCGCCCGCGCGCCCCTCCCCCGCCCGCGGGAGCGCGCCCGCACCTGGCGGCCCCGCCCCGCGCCGCCCAGCCAATGGCAGGCCGCGCCGGCGCCGTGCGGGGCGACGCGCGGGGCGGGGCCCGGGCTGAGGGAGGCGGCGGGCGCGGCCTCGGCGGAGAGGAGCGGGCGAGGCGCAGAGGCCGGCGAGGCCGGCGGCCGGGCGTGCGGCCTGCGAGGCGGCGGGGCGGCGCCGGCGTCCTGTCAGGCGGCCGAGGGCGCCGCCGCGGACCGCGCCGCGATGATGCCGGTGGGTGCGGCGGCGGCGGGGTCGCCCGGGGCCGGCGGGCGGGCGGGGGCGGACTGTCAGCGGGCCGGCCGGGCGGCTCGCGCTCCCACGCTCGGCCCCGCGTCCCCGGCGCCCGGGCCCGTCGCGGGGGCCGGCCTTTGTCCTTTGGGGCGGGCAGCGGCCGTGGGGCGGCCGGAGCCTGGCGTGCGTGGGCAGGGCCCGCAGCCCACGCGCGTCCCGATCCCGCGCTCGGCGGCCGGCTGCGGTTCCGGGGCCGCGCCCGGGGCGGGAGTGCCCGCTGCCCGCCTGCCCGCCGCGGGGCTCACCGCCCCTGCCGCCCCTGGGCTCGCGTGCGGCTTCGGCCCGCCGGGTGGGGCCGGCGGCTGGGTGACCTTGAGCAGGCCTGGCGGCCCCACGCCGCGCTGGACACCGGCTGGCCGGGGCAGGAGGCGGCGTCCTCCCCGTGTGGTGCCCCGCTGGGCGCGGTGTCCGGGCGCCGGGCTGCAGGTCCGAGCTGGGCGCCGGGCTGCAGGTCCGAGCTGGGCGCGGTGTCCGGGCGCCGGGCTGCAGGTCCGAGCTGGGCGCCGGGCTGGCCGGGGCAGGAGGCGGCGTCCTCCCCGTGTGGTGCCCCGCTGGGCGCGGGCTTGGGGTTTTCCTTCTCGGGAAGAAGTTTGGCAATGCGGTGTTCGCCCTGACTCTGGAGGCTTTTCTGAACGCAGGTGTCGGACAGCCTGGCACCGCTTCTGCCGTGGAGGGCGTGTTAGACCAGGGGGGAGTCTGTCATTCGGCTCCCTGCTGGGTCCTCACTGGCTCTGAGCCCGGACCGGGTGTGCGAGCGCGCCTTGTGGTGGTGGCCTCCATCGTTGGTGTAGGGGTGAGGTGCAGGCCACAGAGGCAGTCCTAGGGCTTTTAGGCCCTCGTGAAAGTAGCTTAGCAGTGTGAATGTTGATGTTTGTAATATATCCCCATGGTGTTGGTGTGGCTAAGTCACCGATGATTCCTGTCACTTGGTTTCCAGCCACAGTTCCTTGGTTGTGGCCTGTGGCCTGGACAGCATAGGGTCAGGGTTGGGGTCGTGCTGTTTGTCTGGAAATGAGCAGGTGATGTGTGGTGGCCGGGCTCGCCTGCTGGTCAGGCAGGCAGTGTGTGGTGGCCTGGGTCGCCTCCCCTACCAGGAAAAGTGGACCCTGGCACACAGCTGTGGAGAGCAAACGGGACAGACTGGCCAGGCTCTCCTAATACAATCGGGTCTTTGTAAGTCTTGTGTTTGCTTGTCGTACAAAGTTCCTTGACTTTCTACTTTTAAACAAAGTTATATTCTGGAGTTTTCCCTGGTGAAAATAGTATCGCATTCTGGAAGCTGTAATCACTTGTTAAAAGATGACATTTAAAAGAAATGTTTTCAGGGGCTGCTGTTGCAGTGCGGGGGGGTTGAATTACCCTCTGCCAGGCCAACAGCTCACATGGGCGCCAGTTCCAGCCCTGGCTGCTCCACTTCCGATCCAGCTCCCTGATAATGCAGCTGGGAAAGCAGTTGAGGGTGACAAGTGCTTGGGCCCCTGAAGCCACGTGCGAGAGCCAGAGGAAGCGGCTCCTGTGGCTGCTTCGGGTGAACCAGGAGGTGGAGGAGGGGATTGTGGAGAGAGTCACTTCTTTAGGGACTAGTTAGGCCTGAGGCCGCCTGGGGCTCTGCACTGCCAGGAGGAGTGAACGGCCGGCGCCGAGCAGGGTGGCCGTTGGTTCACTGGGAGGACTGTGCCCGAACAGGCCACAGGAGGGTCCGGGGGCAAAGCTGGGCTCCTCCTGCTAGTCCAGGAGCGTTGGCCGCAGGCGGGGGGAGGCCCAAGCTGTTGAAGTCATAAGGGCACCGTGTTTTGGTCATGGCAGTGCCAGATGCCGAGCAGTATGCTCAGTGACTGCTGAGTTCTGCCCTGGGAGCCCTTCTGGCACAGCCTTGGCAGGATTGTGTTGTGTTAATTTGTGTTCAGTATTTAGCTATGCTGGCTTATGACGCGTAGGTTAAACTGCCACTTGCAATATCAGCATCCCATATGGGTGCCAGTTGGAGGCCTGGCTGCTCTGCTCTCATCCAGCTCCTTGGCTCGTGCGCCTGGACCAGCAGCAGAAGATGGCCCAAGTCTTTGGGTCCTGTATCCCATGGGAGAGCTGGAGGAGCTCCAGGCCCCTGGTTTTACTCTGGTGCAGCCCAGGCTGTCGGCGCCATTTGGGGAGTGGACAGTGAGTGGATGATCTAACACTGTCTTCAGATAAATAACTAAGCATTTTAAAAAGTTTTAAAAGACTCTCTGTCTCTCCTCCTCTCTGCATATCTGACTTTACACTAGAAATAAATACATCTTTAAAAATATATATATTTTGAGACTTACCTATTTTTATTGGAAAGGCAAATTTACAGAGGACAGACAGAAAGCTCTTCCATCTGCTGGTTTACTCCCCAATTGGCTGTAGTGTCCAGAGCTCTTGCCAGTCCAATGCCAGGAGCCAGGAGCTTCCTCTGTATCTCCCACGCGGGTGCAGGGTCCCAAGGCTTTGGGCCGTCCTCGACTGCTTTCCCAGGCCACAGGCAGGGAGCTGGATGGGAAGTGGAGCAGCCGGGACTTGAAGGTGGTACCTGTATGGGATGTCAGTACTGTGGGAGGGTTAGCGTGCTATACTGTGGTGCCAACGCCCCCAGAAACATTTTAAAGTACTGAAATGGGGCTATGTAGTTGACGGAACACTGAGCCAGAAATAAAGATACTCATTCTAGCTGAATAAAAATAAGGAGATCTTTTCTGAACTTCACTTGTTTAGATGTGACTTCTTGGGCCCAGCACAATGGCCTAGTGGTAGAATCCTCACTTTGCAAGCACTGGGATCCTATAAGGGTTATGGTTCCTGTCCTGGCTGCGCCACTTCCCATCTAGTTCCCCACTTGTGGCCTGGGAAAGCAGCAGAAGATGACCCAAAGCTTTGGGACCCTGCACTCACATGGGAAACCTGGAAGAAGCTCCTGGCTTCAGATTGGCTCAACTCCGGCCATTGTGACCACTTTGGGAGTGGGCTTGGTGGGGACGTGGCCCCTCGCCGTGGGCTTGGTGGTTCTGCTTGTGGCAATGAGGCATTCTGGAGGTGCTAACCAGAATCTGGCTAGTCCCCGCCCACCCCTGCTGGTCCTGAGTTAAGGAAATCTGATGAGGAGTGAGTGTTTTCCCCACTGAGACCTTGGAGACGACGTGTGCGTCCTTCCTTGCTCAGCAGGCACTGTGCTGTGAGTAGCCTGTGCTGGCCCCTGTCTCAGTGGTCCCCGCGACTTCATGGTTACCCTGCGTCAGTGTGGCCACGCTGGCTGTCACCAGGCAGAGGGTGCGTGTTGGCACATGCGGGGCCGGTGCCTTAGCAAAAGTGCAACAGGGTTTTGGTGTCTTGAAGTGTGTTGCTGTGGTTACTTCACAGCGGCAGGCTCCAGGGCTCGGGGAGGGCCCGGGCACACCCTGTTGTGCCACTTTGAGGCTTGACACTTTTGCTCTGCTTCCCGCAAAGATGGGTGCCCATCGGCATAGGGGAGCACAGGCTGCCACGCAGGATGAAGGGCGGTGTTAAGACAGATGCCCGACGGGTGCCTGTCAGCTCAGGGGAGTGCAGGCTGCCACGCAGGACGAATGAAGGACTGCACAGCGTGACTGTGTTCCTGAAGACCCGGGAGGGCGTTCGAAGTGGGAGTGGGCCGTTCAGCGCAGGTCTCAGGGGACGTAACTGCTGGGTCAGTGGAAATGCTGGCTGACGTTTTGGCAGGGTCATGGTTTGTGCCGGACCTCAGGTACCTGCTGAAGCCGTATGGCCAGGGGAGGCCTGTGGGTCTGGGGCATTGGGAGGGGAAGGTGGAGGAGGTGACCTTGGAAAGCTGGGGGCGGGGGGCAAGGCAGAAGGTCATAGAGCATGTGCAGGGTGCTGTAAGGAGAGGCCGAGCTTGGCTGAGCTCTGCTGTGCCAGGCCCCACACTGCCCCGAGGCAGGTACTGCCTGCTGGGCCTCTGTGGCAGACCCTGGCCTCAGGTGGAGTCCTGCTGGTGCAGTCAGGTCCTGGCAGTGGGTGGAGGAGTGCAGTAGGGGTGCCTGGCACAGAGTGAGTGCTCCCACCCTCCTCGTGTGCCTTCTGGCTACGTGTAGTTTCCGTTTTACCAAGGTGGGAGACAGTGTGTGGACGGTATCTCCATCCCCGGCTCAGTCCCTATGTGCCCACAGCACCCAAGGCTGGGGCAGGCTGCACCAGGAACCCAGGTCGGACTCCAGGTCTCTGCGTTGTAGGAGCCTGAGAACTCGCTGAGCACCTACTACCTGCCAGCCTGCCCTGGGTCAAGGCTGGCGCTGGGAGCAGGGCAAGGACTTGAACTCAGGGCCTAGGGGTGGGGAGGAGGGGCCCAAATGCAGGCTGAGTGCCTTTGCTCAGCCTTCAGTATTCAAGCTGAGAGTGGGGGCCGGCACTCAGTGTATTCTGGTTTTTTTTTTTTTTAAGGATTACTTATTTATTTACTTACTTATTGGGCAGGCTGATCACATTTATAAAGGGGAGGAGAAACAGAGATTTTCCAACTGCTGGTTCACTCTCCACATGGCTGCTATGACCGGAGCTGAGCCAATCAGGATCCAGGAGCCTCTTCTGGGTCTCCCACACAGGTGCAGGGTCCCAGGGCCTTGGGCCGTACTCGACTGCTTTCCCGGGCCACAAGCAGGGAGCTGGATGGAAGCAGGGCTGCCGGGACACAGCAGTGTTCACTGGGGAGTCCAGCATTGCAGGCTGCACCCTGCATCAAGTTATCTGCCATCCAGGTCTGTATGGAGCAAATGAAAAGGAGCCAGATGGAACAGCTGGCCAGGCCTGACTTGGTCCGCGGGAGCCCAGGCCTGGCTTGGTCTGCGGGAGTCCAGGCTTGGCTTGGTCCACTGGAGCCCCGGCCTAGCTTGGTCTGTGGGAGCCCCCACCAGGGTGGTGCAGTGGGGAAGAGGGCGGTGCTTGCATGA